CAATTAGTGAACCCACAATTAGTAAACCCACAATTAGTGAACCCACAATTAGTATACCCACAATTAGTATACCCACAATTAGTATACCCACAATTAGTTTACCCACAATTAGTAAACCCACAATTAGTATACCCACAATTAGTATACCCACAATTAGTATACCCACAATTAGTAGACCCACAATTAGTATACCCACAATTAGTAAACCCACAATTAGTAAACCCACAATTAGTAAACCCACAATTAGTATACCCACAATTAGTATACCCACAATTAGTATACACACAATTAGTATACCCACAATTAGTATACCCACAATTAGTAGACCCACAATTAGTGAACCCACAATTAGTAGACCCACAATTAGTATACCCACAATTAGTATACCCACAATTAGTAGACCCACAATTAGTGAACCCACAATTAGTATACCCACAATTAGTATACCCACAATTAGTATACCCACAATTAGTATACCCACAATTAGTAAACCCACAATTAGTGAACCCACAATTAGTATACCCACAATTAGTATACCCACAATTAGTATACCCACAATTAGTTTACCCACAATTAGTAAACCCACAATTAGTATACCCACAATTAGTATACCCACAATTAGTATACCCACAATTAGTAGACCCACAATTAGTATACCCACAATTAGTAAACCCACAATTAGTAAACCCACAATTAGTATACCCACAATTAGTATACCCACAATTAGTATACCCACAATTAGTAGACCCATAATTAGTATACCCACAATTAGTATACCCACAATTAGTAGACCCACAATTAGTGAACCCACAATTAGTATACCCACAATTAGTGAACCCACAATTAGTAGACCCACAATTAGTAGACCCACAATTAGTAGACCCACAATTAGTATACCCACAATTAGTAGACCCACAATTAGTAGACCCACAATTAGTAGACCCACAATTAGTAGACCCACAATTAGTATACCCACAATTAGTAAACCCACAATTAGTGAACCCACAATTAGTAGACCCACAATTAGTATACCCACAATTAGTATACCCACAATTAGTATACCCACAATTAGTAGACCCACAATTAGTAGACCCACAATTAGTAAACCCACAATTAGTGAACCCACAATTAGTAGACCCACAATTAGTAGACCCACAATTAGTAGACCCACAATTAGTGAACCCACAATTAGTATACCCACAATTAGTATACCCACAATTAGTATACCCACAATTAGTTTACCCACAATTAGTAAACCCACAATTAGTATACCCACAATTAGTATACCCACAATTAGTATACCCACAATTAGTAGACCCACAATTAGTATACCCACAATTAGTAAACCCACAATTAGTAAACCCACAATTAGTATACCCACAATTAGTATACCCACAATTAGTATACCCACAATTAGTAGACCCATAATTAGTATACCCACAATTAGTATACCCACAATTAGTAGACCCACAATTAGTGAACCCACAATTAGTATACCCACAATTAGTGAACCCACAATTAGTAGACCCACAATTAGTAGACCCACAATTAGTAGACCCACAATTAGTATACCCACAATTAGTAGACCCACAATTAGTAGACCCACAATTAGTAGACCCACAATTAGTAGACCCACAATTAGTATACCCACAATTAGTAAACCCACAATTAGTGAACCCACAATTAGTAGACCCACAATTAGTATACCCACAATTAGTATACCCACAATTAGTATACCCACAATTAGTAGACCCACAATTAGTAGACCCACAATTAGTAAACCCACAATTAGTGAACCCACAATTAGTAGACCCACAATTAGTAGACCCACAATTAGTAGACCCACAATTAGTGAACCCACAATTAGTATACCCACAATTAGTAGACCCACAATTAGTAGACCCACAATTAGTGAACCCACAATTAGTAGACCCACAATTAGTGAACCCACAATTAGTATACCCACAATTAGTATACCCACAATTAGTAGACCCACAATTAGTAAACCCACAATTAGTAGACCCACAATTAGTATACCCACAATTAGTAAACCCACAATTAGTAAACCCACAATTAGTATACCCACAATTAGTATACCCACAATTAGTAGACCCACAATTAGTATACCCACAATTAGTGAACCCACAATTAGTAGACCCACAATTAGTGAACCCACAATTAGTAGACCCACAATTAGTGAACCCACAATTAGTATACTCACAATTAGTAAACCCACAATTAGTATACCCACAATTAGTATACCCACAATTAGTATACCCACAATTAGTAGACCCACAATTAGTAGACCTACAATTAGTATACCCACAATTAGTGAACCCACAATTAGTGAACCCACAATTAGTGAACCCACAATTAGTGAACCCACAATTAGTGAACCCACAATTAGTGAACCCACAATTAGTGAACCCACAATTAGTGAACCCACAATTAGTGAACCCACCAACGCTTCGCTCCCTCGCAGGAACTGCTCGCGTTGTCCAAGCCTCCACCGCGGCCCCCTCGCGTCCGTGCGGGTGTCCACTTTGAACCGTTCATTGGGGCAAGGCGCCTGGAAAGTCCTCCGCGGTCAGAGTGGCTTTGGGTTGAAGTGGGTGTGTTGGTGGACCACTCTGGTGGCCAAATCTACGAGTTTGCAGGCCCCACTTGACAACCGTCAACAGTAAAGAAACGCAAATTTGCTTTGAATGCCCGTAAATTTGAGTGGAAGAACAATCGACCATTAAAATATTGTTTTGGTGACTATATATTTCACTAGATTACCCGTCAATTGTATTGCAAAGAGGTAACTTCTGCGCGGCTGTAGTGGCTGCATCTGGCGCCCCTACAGCGTTAGCTATTCGAGACCGTGAGCGTAACGACGATGCGATTAAGGCAAGCTCCCATATGACCGATTTGCTGCACCCCCTGAGCTCGTAATGGGAGTCACCACGCCACTGAGCAGACGATAAACCCAGGACCTGGGTTCAGATGTCACCGCCGCTGATGCGAATCGTTGGCCGGTGAATCGAACTCAGATCGCTCGCTGGGGTCAAAGTGCAGTTGCGGCTTCACCGCTGGGCCACACCACTGGCATAGCCACAAATAAGTATGCATTATTTAAAACTGCAATATCTATTACGATAAAAAATAACATTCCATTAAACGCTGTTGGGGGGGGGGGGGGAACCCATTTGCCCTGTTGACAGAGTAAGCGAGAAATGTTGTAAACATCACGGCTGGTGCTCGCTCTTACTTAAACATCCGAGGCAGCTCCCCAGACGGCATGACCCCTATTAGAACACGGTCAAGTTAGGAGGGGGGGGGGGGGGGGGGGGGAGGTGGAACTTCCAAGCATCTCTCTCTTTTCTTTAAATAGTCTTACCCGATCTAGCACGGTCAAAGTCACGTTGTAGCCACCCGTGATGGTTATGTTTTTTTTTATTATATACGGATAACGCATGTTGACTCTGTAATGAATATATTAGTGGAAGTCTGGTTGTTGGGGTTTCTTTTTTGCATAATGAAGTAATACAATGTAATATATTTATGTATGCGGGTTTACCCAGTAGGGTGCTGTCAAGGCTTTATTTAATTTTTCTCGCAGTAGGAGGGGCGATGATTGTTGCTTGCAATGTGTTATCCCAATCGAGGGATGTTTTTTTTTATTGGCCACGGTGGTGAGATGTGAACTACCTCGCCAGGTATACAGGAGTACCTGAGTTCGAACCCGACCCTGACGACTGTATATTTGCAGGTTGCGTGTTCTCTCTCCACGTGGTCACGTGGATTTTTCTCCGGGTCCTCTGTTTTTTCCCATTTAGAGATAACGTGCGTTGAGGATATTTGCGAAACATTTGCGCATGATACACCACTTGTTTCAGCTGTAAATGTGTGGCCAAGTGGCTTCTGAAAAATAGCTATATAGCTCAGTGGGCCTTACCTGGTGAAATATAAATAGTTGAGTTTTGTTTTAGTTTACAACCTGCAGAAACGCCAGCTACATCAGGGTGAGAACTTACAAAGTCTACATACTTACAACAATACAGATATCCCCGGTATAGCCTTATGATACTTTTGGGGCAAGTGGTGTTTGTGAGCACCTTACGAAGGCCGGCACAGCACACGAGATGGTGGGAGAGTGGCCAGCAACACTCCCGGCCGCGTCGAATCAGGTCATTCTTTGACGTTGAGTCCACCTAGGGTAGGCTCGGGACTGGTTCAGATAATCGCTGTCACCTGGTGTGGTCCATTGCAATATGTGTGACCCCTCTGGCACACGAAACGTCCTCATTGTATGTTTACACGAGAGAGCAATAATCGCACAATGCATTCCGATATTTCTCAAATGTAATGCTGCTGTGAACGATTTTTTAAAAGTAATTTGGTCCACGCCGGCTTCCTTTTTACCGCGAATTTATTTAATTTAAAATCGATTGTGTTTGCACGCTGCTTTTTGCTTCCCCCTGTAACGCAGTTGACTCTGCACTGATTTCTATTTGGTTGATTTTTCTCTGATTTGTATTTGGTTGATTTTGCTCTGATCTCTATTTGGTTGATTTTGGTCTGGTTTCTATTTAGTTGATTTTGCTCTGATGTCTATTTGGTTGATTTTGCTCTGATTTCTATTTGGATGATTTTGCTCTGATTTCTATTTGGATGATTTTGCTCTGATTTCTATTTGGTTGATTTTGCTATCATCTATATTTGGTTGATTTTGCTCTAAATTCCACTTGGTGGCTTTTGCTCTGATTTCTATTTGGTTGATTTTACTCTGATCTCTATTTGGTTAGTTTTGCTCTGATCGCCATTTGCCTGTCTCTGCTCTGATCGCTATTCGCTTCATTAACTCACTCGTTTTCATCTCATCACCTCTGCCGACATTGGCGACGCTGGTCACTCACTCTCTCTCTCTTTGCCAACGAGACTCCTCTCTCTCTCTCTCCTCTCTCTATCCCCGGTTGCTCATAACCAACCGGTTCCCTCTGGTCGCAAACCCATAGGATGGGCACTGTGGCCCCACCTCTCTACCGAATTGGCTGCTCTGCGACCCATCTACGTCGGGCCTACGGGGAGTGCCCGTCGACTCGGACCGCGGGAGCCACGCCGTCGCCTCGTGCTGCCCCGGGACATTCTCCCTGCACGTGCTCGCCGATTGGGAGTCGCCGCGAGCCTGGCTCTTCCAAGATCCCTCCTCCAGGTGTGCCTCGTGTGGCACGGCGCCGGCCGGCTTTTGCCTCACTGGATTTGTTAGCCGGGATGTTTTTTTTTCTGACGCGCGGCCACTCCAGATGCAGGATCCGGGGTCCGCTTGTCATTGTATCTCATTTGCGTCTCCCCCCCCCCACCACTCCCCCCCCTCCTCCCCATATCCCACGGGAATCCAATCTCTCTGACCGTCTGTCCATGCGTCTGTCTGTGCATCCGTCTCTCTATCCGTCCGTCCATCTGTCCGTCTACCTGTCTATCCGTCTGTCCATCTGTCCGTCTTTCTGCCCGTACGTCCATGCGTCCGTCCATCCACGCATCCATACAATCTGTCCATCCGTCCGTGCAACAGGCCGCCCAAGAACGCGGCAGGCACATCCGGTGTGGAGATGGAGCGCTGCGTGTCGGGCTCCGCCGCCGCCACCTTCGCGTCGCTGGTGCTCGAGGGCCGGGCCGAGTCCCTGAGCGCCGAGCGGCGGCTGCAGCTCATCTCGGTGCTCGCGCGCTACCTCCGCCTCGACCCCTATGCCGTGACGCTGGCGCCGCTCGGGACGCCGTCGCAGCTGGCGCGCCTCAACCGCAGTGTGGTGGCCGCAAGTGGGGCCTCTGGGCCCCAAGACGACGCCGGCCGGACGATGAGCCGTAAGGCCATGGTGCCGGCAGGCGGCGGTGGCGGCGGCTTCGGCGGGCCAGAGGACGGCGCCGGTGCTTCGGGGCTGGTTCGGCTCCGCCTCCGAGACGCTTCGGAGCGTGAGACGTCGGGCCCTGAGAGACTTGCGGTCGGTGGCGCCGGGCACCGCGGCCGCGATTGCGACCCACGGGGCCGTGAGCCGCTGGGGCCGGAGGGCGGCCTCATGGAGGTGTCGTGGCCCGTTGCCTGTGGCCCCTTTGAGCTGGCCGCGGAGCTGGCCCAGGTGCTGTCGCACAGCGTCGCCTCGGGCCGGATGTCCGGCGTGACAGGCCACGCGGTAGTCGGCTGGCGAGTGCTGGCCGAGAGCCGCGGCGGCAGCGCCGAGAGCGCCGACACCAAAATCGGCACGGCAACGTTGAGGAAGAGGATGCTCGGGGCCACGGCCACGCCGGTGCTCATGCCGGCGACGACTAGGCTCATTCCGGCGTTCGAGGCTGCCGCCGATGACGCCGAGGGAGTGGCGGCGGTTGCCGCGTGCTGCGGTTTCGGTGTCGCCGCCGCTGCCGCCGCCGCTGCAACGGAGCTCTCCCCGTCCCCCGTGCACCTCACCGTTCCACCCTCTGGCGAACGGACGGATTCAGACGCATCGACCCAAGCCCCTTTCTGGAGCACGTGGACCAGTCCGCATGCCGCAGAGGGGGCAGCCCGACCCGACGGCGGCGGCGTCGCACCGATGGGTCTCTGCAGCTCAACGGTGCCCGTCTTCGGTGACCGCGCTTCGCCCGTTCCTCTCGCACCACCCGCGGGCCCCATCGCCGGCGCGCCGGCGTATCCGTGCACTCTGACGGCGGGCCACCCCACCGGCGGCGGGCGCTCCAGTGGAACGGCACCTCCCCCGTCGCGGAGAGGTTCCCCGTCGCTAGGCATGACAATCGCACGCGCGTCCCAGCCCCGCTCCGGCCGCGTCACGCCGTCGTACGCGCCGCTGGAGTTGCCGTCAACCCGGCCCGATGCCACAGCCTCCCAGGACTTGCAGCAACGGCAATCTGAGCCTGTGAGTCCAAGCGGCACGGGATGCTATGAAAAGGAGGGATTGGCCGGGGTGACCCCGTCGCTCTCCGATGCCGTGCCGTGGCTCGAGGCGACGGTGAGACCATCTCTCCCCTCGCCAGTTATAGCCATGACCGCTGGCCCTGCCGTCTCACTGCCGGTGGCGACGGCGGCCGTGGTTTCGCGACTGAGCGCACCACTGTCGCGTTTGCCAACGGCGCAGGAGCTCACGCCGAGTGGCCAGCCGGTGCCAGCAGCAGGCGGCGGGCAGGCGGGGCAGCCGTCCGGGTCGTCCTTTTGGCAGCGGACGCCAAAGATGAGTTTGGCGACGATGTGGCATGAGCTAGCGGGCCGAGCGGGCTCACTCACGCAGCTACAGCCGCCGCCATCATCTCAGATTAATCAGAGTTGCCAGCCTCAGCGGGCGAGACACCCCGTGTCGTCTCCTGCGGAGTGGAGTGCCTCGACAAAGGACGCAGACGTGTCCTTTGCGCTGAGCGCGACGCAGCGGGCTGGAGGCGAGCGTTCAGACTGCTCCTTCGGGGACTTGCTGTACGACGGCTCGCCGCTCGAGCACGGAACAATGGCATGCACGCGTTCGCTGTCACCACCGCGTAGTGGCACAGCCATGCCCGACGACTTTTTCTCTTTTGTTTACGCAGCCGAGCAGGCCGGAGATGCATCGTCGGTCTATGCAGTGCAACATTTCGATGATTCGCAGCACGGATACAGAACGGAGAAGCCGGTGCACTCGTCGCCGATTTACGGCACAATCTCTCCCAGCGATTCACTCAGCGCTCACACGATGGAACGAGCCACGGATGCCTCGTCCCTTTTCAAAACGCGACAGCGAGGCGATCAGTCGCTCCTCTGTCATGCGGCCGGGCCCACTGAATCACCTCCTGTGTACACAGCGGAACGGCATGGGGATTCATCGTCTCTCTGCACAACGGCTCAACTCGACGACTTACTCTCCGGCCCCTCCTACCCCCACGCCGCACGCCAACCAACTCTTTCACCGTCGCTTTACGAAGCAGAGCGGCTCGCCGGAGCCCAGCCCTCGTGGCGGACGGAGCGAGCCGGCGATGTGATTTTCCCCCGCGAAGTTGGCGGCGCCGGCAGCCCTCCGGCAAAAACTTTCGGGGCCCCACGGACCACTTTGCTCGCGGCGGAAGCAGAGGCGGTGCTTTCCCGCATGCCGGCTGCATCTCAGCAGAGTTTCTCCGCCGCTCCGAGCACCGCCGACAGGGGTTCCGTCCCCGGAGGATGGGGTCACAGAACCGGCACATCCGTCACGGTGACCTCCACCCCCAGCCCGGCGTCCGAGACAGCTCCGCTCGGAAGATCGATGGGACCAATTCCAGCGTCCTCAGCTCTGCTCTGGGATGCATCGCTGAGCCTTGCTTCCGATTTGCTTCCATCATTCATGCCACCGCTGCCCGCCGACTTGACTTATCGCCAGCCTCGCGAGCGCTTTACCACCGCAGCCGCCTCCTCCTCCTCCACCCCCTCCACTGGAAGTGACTCCCCGGCGCCGCCGGCGACTCCCGGTGGCGCCACGGGACGAGGGGCGGGGTCCAGCCCCCACTATCCGACCCCGGCGCCCGTCCTCACGGCCCGGCAAAGTTCGACACCGGTCGCGGATGGGGGAGTTGCGGCATCGATCCATCCGAGCCTCCATTCCTCCACATCTCCCGAGTTCCAGTTCTCGCGCACGGCCATTGCCATTGATGCCGCCGCCACTGGCGCCGCTGGCACCATCAGTGCCATGACGACCGGGGACCCGGTGCCAGTGGCGAGCAGTGTCGTCGAGAGGAGAAGTCGTTCGAGCTGGGGGGCCATGCCCCCCCCTGCGAGTCTGACCGTCGCTCCGTCGCCTCGATCTGCCCTCACGGAGGGGACCCCCGCGTTGGCGAGCGCAGGTGAGAGCCGTCATCTTGGCCAGGCCCGAAGGCCACACACACACACACTGCGACGTTTGTGATGGATAAGAGTTGACATGCTTATTGGATTGAGCAAGTCGATTTTTAAGGGCCATGAGTGGATTAGTGAGTGAGTAGGTGAATGGGTGGGTGGTTGATTTTGTGGGTGGGTGATGGAGTGAGTCAGCGGATGGGTGGGTGGGTGAATGGGCAGGTGGATGGGAGAGTGTGTTGATGTGACCTGGTGGTTGAACACAGAATGCAGAAGAGATCTCAACATGAGTGGCGGAGGAACAAGTGAGTGACGTTCGTGGCAAAAAAAAAAAACAACACGTGGCAGTAGCAATAGAAGAGTGATGAGGAGGCTCCTGACTGCCAGTGAGTTCTGGGTCAATGAAAAGTTCGTGCCATTGTGTGAGCGAGTACAAAGGCACGTGACACAGCACACACACACATGATGATCCCAAGAACAAGCAGCAGCAGCACCAACATTTTTAGAACAACCTTTGTTTCCTTCCCCTTTCCACAGTATATATCTATATCTACGTGAAATATATATTTTAGGTAAGGACACAAGCCCCGGTACGATGCCCTCAGTGGTTTCTGGGGAGGGCAGGGTGGGGAGACAAAAAAAACCGCGACGGAGCGGGGGGGGGGAGAGGGGGACACTTTCCGGTGCCTGCCACAAATGAACAACAATACCTTGCTGATCTCGTCAAGCGACATAAACCGTAACGGGCACTCCGGTCATCCTTGCAGCAGCGGCGGCTTTTGGCTCGTCATCAAACGAAGGTGGTCACCGCATTGTGCGGCGCTTTCAGATGGACTTCTGTGGCCGTCCGGAATGCTCTTCATTCCGATTTTAGGAAGCCACTGGAGCTATGCAATTTTAAATTATCTAGATTGAAAGCTCATGTCGTTGAAACAATTTTTGTGTTCAGTTTGGTGTCCTTCTTCGGGCACCTCCGATGAGCACGGTTGGCTACGTACAATGCGAAAGAAGTGCAACATACATAAATGCATGTGACATCACCCTACCGCGCGCTTAGTGCACAATAGCTTTGCTTTTAAACCATCAACCTAAAACAAAATCTAAATTGTGACTTTTGACTCAGCCCGTCATTCCAATCTGGGGTCGTATAAACGAGTCCTATATTTTGATTTATAGCTTTCGTGACTGCAGGGATTCATATTCTTGGTTCTTTCGGTAAAGTCACGTAGAAGGGAAAAAAATAAATAATAAAAATATAAAACAATAAAATTCTCACGACGTTTCGACTGCAACACAAGCAATCATCATCAGGTGTGAAAACCACAACAATTTTCCACATCATCAGGTGTGAAAACCACAGCAAGAATTTTTTCTTTCTGTGGTTTTCACACCTGATGATGATTGCTTGTGTTGCAGTCGAAACGTCGTGAGAATTTTATTGTTTCATATTTGTATTATTTTATTGTTTCCCTTCTACGTGACTTTACCGAAAGAACCAAGAATATGGGTCCTATATTGTGATGAGAAATCAACGGCAGTCGTCCTATGGAGAGACCATGCCCTGGCCATTGGAATGTGGAATTTCCACCACCGGCTCTGCAGGGATGCGAGTGAAAGACGAGCAGCCGATGCCTTTCGATACTGATCGGAGCAGCAGGAAGTTACTTCCTCTCGACTTCTTTTGACCGGGAATCGAACTCGGTCGGGCAGGCTCACAATACCCCCCCGTAAAAAAAACCTCTCCTCCATCCCGAGGGCCCCATACACTCTCAGCTGACGAAATAAAATGTCCACGCTCCGCCGGGTCCCCGTCCCCGGGGCCTCTCCGCTTCTCTCTCGCTCTCTCGTTTTAGACTTCGGAGGAAGGGGAGGGCCACCATCTGGCCTCAAACTCCACTTTTCCCCTCTGTTGAGCTTGTGGGACACACAGGTGTTCGATAGCCGCGTGGGCTAGCAGGTTGTTGCGCCCTTGTCCCCACGTAAGGGGGTTCAGTTAGCCAAGATGTTTTTTTTTTCTGTTGTACTGGAAATGATGTTAAAAGTTTGGAGTAGGACGTGCTAGTGTTTTTTTAGTATAACCAACCCGGTTTCAAGCCCTACAGGGTGGTCTCAGTTGACGGAGAGATGTTTGGTGCTCCACACGTCATTACAGAAGACCGATATCGTCTGATAAAAAAATGTATATATAATCAATGTCCGGCCATGACCAAAACGCATGTAAGTAGGTTTGTATTGATCTGAAGCTTTCGTGACTGCAGGAATCCATACTCTTTGGTTCTTTCGGTAAAGTCACGTAGGTAGAAAAATTAAACAAAATAAAAATAATATATCACGACGTTTCGATCGCAACACATTCGATCGAAACGTCGTGACATGTTATTTTTATTTTTCTACCTACGTGACTTTACCGAAAGAACCAAAGAGTATAGGTTTGTATTGTGCCTGAGTCACATCATGGACAGTCAGGGGTGGAGTTGGCACATACGTGCCATGCACGAATGTGAGCTGTAAAGGTTTGAGCGATATTGCTCTTGGACGGGATTTCGAGGCTTGCCATATTTTGGCACCATTCCTGCGGTGTGATCTCCTGGGGTTGGGGGGGGGATTCCACTCCGTACTTTACCTGGGTTACTGATCTTGTGTCAGTGGCCTTCACCGCCCAGCAGATGATAAGCCTCCGCTCGTCTGTATTTTAAGATTCGGTTATTCCGGCCAGCCTGCGATCGGGTGTCGGCGTCCATCCAGGTTATATGTCGGCAGGACTTTTGTTGTGGCCTTTGTTTGATCGTTTGTTTCTCCCCTCGGCATTCGTAAAGCATCAGCTTCAGAAAATAATCCTGAAGCAGAATATTCCTGCTGCATACAAACCACATTTGCCTATGCGATTTGTGACTCTGATCCTAGCCCGTGTATTGATAGTTCAATTTTAATGTGCAATTATGTTGAGTGTTATTGTGTGTTGTCTTGGTGTGGTCTGGGACTGTTTTGTTGATTTGCTGCATTGCCCCAAGCTTGCATTTAGTGTTGACAAATCGACAGGAATTGATGGACTCGCACAATGTGTAGCTATATACGTTATTACATTTGGTTTATATATAGGTATTTATTTATTTACGAGTTCATAAAGCCTGTCTTCGCCAGGCAAAATATTGCAATAAATATAATAATTAACTCGATGTAATTTATATTCTTTGTTTTTTCGGTAAAGTCACGTTGAAGGGAAACAACAAAATAATAAAATATATATAAAACAATAAAAAAATTCTCACGACGTTTCGACCATAACTCAAACGGTCATCTTCAGGTGTGTTGGTTTGCATACATTTATTTTTAAACGGCGCATTTATTTATTTATAAAAACGTTAGCGCCACGCGCAACGATTTGGCAGTTTATTTAGGACTAGTCCATCTATATTCTGAAAAGAGGAGGGGGGAGACGAAATTTTTTATAATGTATGCTGTCTGAAAGCCACTGTAAGCGTGAACAATCAATTAAGACCTGAAATGGTTTATCAAATCTTTCCAATGATTGCTAAGATAGAATCCATCTTCTCGGTTGAAATTGTCTCTGTGCTTGTATATGTGGATAGCCTCATGAACGAATCTCTCATGGAAGCCAGATGGCTTACAAAGAACCTCTGTCTTGGAAAAGTCAATGGCATGTGAGCCTACTGAATTAGAACAATGATCTGCCACGGCCGAGGTGTTGGTCCTACCGTGTTTAAGGTCTGCTTTGTGTTCACGAATGCGGTCCGAGACATGGCGTTTGGTTTCTCCAATGTAACTACTACCACAGAGGCAACTTAGTTTGTAGACACCAGGGTATTGTATGTCCGGAATCACATCTTTTACAGACGGAACCAGATCACGGATTTTATTTAATGTGTTGAAACGGACCTGGATCTTGTGTTTATTCAAGATTTTGGAGATCTTTTTTGTGATCCCCGCAATGTAGGGTAAAGTGATGGTTTTGAAAGGCTCCTCAAGAGGGTTCTTCTTCATGGTTTGAGTGATAGCTTTGCGGATTGTATAGTCGGAGTAACCATTAGCCCTAAGAGCTTGGTGTACGTGCTTGAGTTCACTGCTTATGTGTTCCTGGTCGGATATGCATTGGGCTCTATGATACAGAGTCTTGATGAGAGAATTCTTCTGTGATGGATGGTGGTGGGAATCCGGTTTCAGATAAGCATCCGTATGGGTAGCTTTCCTGTAGACAGAGTGGCTCATTGAACCATCAGGTCTCTTTTTAATTAGGACATCCAAAAAAGGTATCTTGCCATCTATTTCGACTTCCATGGTAAATCTGATGGCTGGGTGTATGGAATATGAATTACTGCAGTCACGAAAGCTTTAAATCAAAATTCGATGTAATTTCTTTACATTTATATTTGGGATCAGACGCTAACTAATCAAAACATTTTTTTTCCGCAAGAAAAAAATTGTTGACGACTCGATTCAACTTCTTATATTTAAAGACGTATCTACCGCAAACGACTCAATTTAAAGATTATGTTATTTTTATTCATTAGAAAGAACAAACATTAATGAACTTGATACTATATGCGGGTAAGCCGCTTGAATCAGAAATATCTCCAAAACAATTAAAGATAAAACAAATTGTTTATCTCCTTAATTTTATTTCCTGTCTAACGCTCTACCAAACATTAAAAAACGCAATCATATATTTTGAACGGTTTCTGAATGAAACGCACAAACATATTTATAGGGCACTTAAATTCAAGATTTGGGGGCCTCACAAACACGTGTGTGTGTGTACAATTTGCCATCCTGTAGCGGTTAACATGGTGACCTATGGACCCAACGACTCAAGATCAATTCCCTGCTCGTGACCGATAACAGTTGCGAATATTTGAACCCGTTTTGGGCCTCCCCTATGTCGACTCAGCCTCAAATGAGTATCTAGTGCAGAGTGTAAGCATTGCTACGGGGGAGACAAAGGAGGCCTGACGTGGTGCTGGCCACTCATCCCCCTTGAGCGCCGTGCCGG